TGTGGTCCCAGCTACTCAGGAGGCTGAGGCAGGAGGATCGCTTGAGCCCAGGAGTTTGAGGTTGCCGTGAGCTAGGCTGACGCCACGGCACTCGCCCCTGGCAACAGAGTGAGACTCTGTCTCAAAAAAAAAAAAAAAAATTCAATAGTTTTCTGACACCTCCTTGAAGACAGAAAGTCATTACTTTCAAGGTTTATTTTCTAACAATATATGTATAAAAATAAGTGATTCTAAGGTATCTTGCTATTTAGACCAGATTTACTATGAACCAAAAGAGAAAAGAGAGGGAAAATGCTTAATGTACCAGAAAAGAGTCAGCCCTAAATGAGAATCATAAAGTGTCCAGAAGAAAAAGAAATGAGTTTAAAGCCCTTAATCAGGGGTCACAGAGTAGTACTCACAATATGAATGAAGTTCAAGCCTAAACAGGAATAAAGATGCACTACCACCAATAATCAAACATGTCCTCAGGAAGTAAAAGAAATTAGTCTAGAGAAGACCTGGAGAAGTGAAACACCTCTTTTCCACATTTCTCTCTGTTCTAAGAAAAACAAATGGAAGGTTCCAAAGCATAGAAAAAAGATTAGAAGGTAGCATGATACTGCCATTTCAGATCTAATATAGTACATGTATAAATCACAACTAAGAGATTCACAAGAAATCTAGACTAGAAGGGAAGGACACCCAATGTAATTCATTTTTATACTTTATTTTGTTCAATCTAATTTTAAGTTTCTATCAATTTTAGTCCACATCAGGTGGACTAAAAGTCAATCTGCTACAAATTGTACCTATGCAAAGAAGAGTTACAAGATGACAGCAAGTAAACACATCCCTAACATAGTCTCTGTGTCTTTCCAAGAAAAATATAAAAATGCTGAATTTTCTTCATCTCTTGCCTTTCCCCTAGTCATCATTTGGTGAAATGTAACACTGTTTTTTTCCTTCAATATGAGCCCCATAATTTCATGAGCCCCATAACTATGTTTCAGTCAAAGATGGACTGCATATACGACAGTGGTCCCATAAGATTATAATGGAACTGAAAAATTCCTATCACCTAGTGACATCTTAGCCATCATAACATCATAGCACAATGCATTACTCGTGTTTTTAGTGATGCTGGTGTAAGCAAACCTACTACGCTGTCAGTCATATAAAATTCTAGCACAAACAGTACATATGTGCTAGTACAGTACATACTACTTGGTAATGATAATAAATGATGTTACTGGTTTATGTATTTACTATACTATACTTCTTAATATTATTTTAGAGTATATTCTTTCTACTTATAAAAAAAAGTTAACTGTAAAACAGCCTCAGACAGGTCATTCAGGAGGTATTCTAGAAGAAGGCATTGTTATCATAGGATATGACAGTTCCATGTGTTATTAGCACTGAAAAACCTTCCGGTGGGACAAGATGTGGAGGTAGAAGATAGTGATATTGATTATCCTGA